GATTTGGATTCTTATATAAAAGTGTTCTGAATTAAGTTCCTCTAGAAAGGGTTTTTAAAAAAGACTAACATATATAAAATATTAAAATTTAGTTTATTTAATTTCTAGAAATTCTGGGACCATTAGAGATATTGTATTATTGTACCTTATTAACTTGTATAAACCAATCAGAACAGAGCTCTTTTCTTTTGTGAGACTTTACAGTCTAATTTATTAATACCCTTTAGAGATAGGAATATATTTGAAATCACCCCCCAAAAGCTAAAAACTTCCCTCAATCACAAAAACACAGAGAGAGCCTGCAGCCTTTGGTCTACAACCTCAAGTAAAAGTAAACACAGAACACAAAAACTCCCCAGTTCAGATATCAAAGGGTTAGTCTCCTCTCCGATGAACAGAAAAATATTTTCTTAATTGATATGAGTTCACAAATAGTCAAACAGAAAAACAAGCCAGATTCTCTATTGTCTCTTACCTGACAGAGAACAGATCTCCATCATCCCTTGCAGATTACTAAATGGCTAGACCATGCAAACAGACTACCAGTCATTGTTGCAATCAAGTAGGAAACATTTACTGGCTACACACAAATTAAATTCATGTACACACAAGGTGCTCAAGACAGCCTACTCCCTGCTCTTGGTTGTAGAAAGCAAAGAAAGCAAAAAAAAAAAAAAAAAAAACCTGTAGAACCTGTGAGTCAGCAAAGATAAGTTTCCAAAGTTGATTGGAAAACCCTACAGGAACCAAGAAAAAACATGCCTTAGCTTAACAGCTCTTCGATTTCACTTCTTGGATGATGCCATTTTATTGAATCTAGCAGATAAAACCACTTGGGTATCTCAGTGGATGACCTATCAACATGTTAAACACAATTCTCATACGAATATAGAATGAATACAAGTCAAATATTTTTGTCTAATTTTTTTATTTTATTTCCTTTTCTTTTTTAAAAAAGTAATCTCCACACTCAACCTGGGGCTTGAACTCATGATCCTGAGATCAAGAGTCACATGCTTTACCCACTGAGCCAGCCATGTACCCCTTTTGTCCAATTTTTTAAATAATAAAGAACCTAGTCAAGAACTCTGAGGGGTCTGAGATTTTATCCTGTTTGCAAGCAAAAAATCTACCTGCAGTGGATTCATGGATGCCAGAAGAATACGCAAGATGCCTGGGTCAGAAGCAAAAAGAAATTTATTATTTACAGCATAGCAAGCAGCATGAGCATAAGCATATTTGGTGCCAGTTCTTCAAACCACAATTTCTATACAGTGATATGAAGAAGGACAGGTGACACCTGCACAGTAGTGGGTTGCATTCTAAGAGAGGAACTCTGAGTTAGGTAATACACACTGAGCATGCCTGACCCCCAGCTCAGGAGGGAGAGCTCTCTCTACCTTCCAAGACTGTACGCAAAACTGTGCTTTGTTCTGGAAGCAAATCAATGTATCATTCAAGGCTGTTTGCTGTATAAACATTCTTGGAAAGATAATTCAGAACAAAGGCATTCACCTTTACTCATAAGACACACAGATATGTGAGAGACCATTGGAGGATTGTCTCCTAACATTAGCAATTAGAATGTTAAAGCTAATTCAAAAAACATTTTGAGAAACGATCTATTTATAGGCACTTGAGTAAAGTAATGTTAGAATAAAATTGCTAGGTTACTTCACAGGAAGAAACAAAAAAATACAACACAATTTTGGAAGTTAAATTTTCTATCACACATAAATCTATAAGATAATGTGAATTTCATAGTGTCTGGGCTCTAATCAAATAGTAAGAAGAATACTAAAACACAGGTAAAAGTGCCAGTTTAATTTTCTTAAAGAATTAAATAAACCTCATTTTTTAAATTAAATAAAGATCCAGTATGACATTAAAAATATATCTGTATTCTCTTGGCTTTATTTCCAAGTTTTGGATAATTTTTCATAAACTATGAACATAACATAATTTGATATCTTTGCGTGGAGACTGAGAATATACTTACCTTCACTGTTCACACAGTAAACATCTTCACATCCTTCAAAATCTTACCTGAAACTGTTAGCAAAAACTAATGTCCACAGTTGTCATGCTAATATTCAGAGTGAAATATAATATTATCTAGAACACCGAGATATCCAATTTTCTTTGATAAGTTTGCTCATATCCCAGAAGAAGACAAACAGCATGTCTCCTGTCCGGGGATTTATCAACCATATGAATATTTTTGAAGAGCAAAGTTTTGCCTTGTAAGTTTTCTCTATTGTTGGTCATTTTCAATTTCATTGATTTCTGCTCTCATCTTGTTTCTTTTGTTTGATTTACTTTGGATTCAATTTTTGTTTTAAGGCTTCTGAGGTAGAAACTTAGATCAATATTGTTAAATGTTTCTGCAGGTCTAATATAAACATCTAGAATGATAGATTCCCCTCTAAACATTGCTCTAGTTGTATGTTGCATATTTTGTTATTTTCTTTTTTTCTTTTTTTAAGTAGGCTCCATGCCCAGCGTGGAGCCCAACACAGGGCTTGAACTCACAACCCTGAGATCAAGACCTGAGCTGAGATCAAGAGTTGGACGCTTAACTGACTGAGCTATCCACGTGCCCCATACATCTTGCATATTTTGATAAGAAGTCTTTCCATTATTATTTAGCTCAAAATATTTTAGGTTTTTATTGTAATTTCTTCTCTGACCCAGGTTTATTTAGAAGTGTAATTTCCAAATACTTGGGAGAGTTCCTAGGTATTTTTTGTTAGTATATTCTGCCTTTAATCAACCTTGTTGAGGTATAATTTTTGTACCAAAAACTGCACTCACTTCAAGTATACAATTTGATGACTTTTAACAGATATGAAACTCTCATGATATCGCTGCCAATCAACATGCTGAATTTCTCCATCAACCCCCAAATTTCCTTATGCTCCTTTGCAATTTATTACCTCCCTGCAATAGACAGGTTAAAATTATTTAAAAGGCCTACTAAGTAGACAATAATAAAAAAAACTTAGTGTGGGATATTAATATCATATAATGTAGACCCCAAAAAGGAAATATTACCCAGAATAAAGAAAGATAAATGACAATCATCCAAATAAACATGGAACATTCTCCTAACAGACATACTATAGGTCATATAAGAAATCTCAAAAAATTAAGAAAAAATGAAATCATACAAAATGAAAAAGAGAAATACAACCCTCCAATCAGGAGAGATAGCCTGGCATGTTTTCTGAGGAAAAACAGAATAGATTTGTTGTAAGTTCAGTTTGTTCCAGAATATTAAAGAACAAAATGAAGGATAAAACTTGATTGAGTGTGTATAGCACGTTATTGAAGGTTTGATGAAAGTGAATTTTATTGCCATGCTTTATAATATCTGAGTCTGAAAGAAAACAGACAACATATGTTAAAATTTTGGCAAAATTTCCTTAATTTTGGTGTGTTTATTTATAAGTATATGTTAATACACTTTATTGCCAAAGACTAAATTAAAGCAATACTGGAATTTTATTTTCTCCCTGTGAAAATATAAATTGAGCTTGAAATATTTAGTCTGCTTTGAACAAGCGTAATAAGTTCCTGACAATTTTGTAAGCTTCTTCTGTTTTTATTGCATATTGTTGTCACTTTGATTTATGTGTAGTTATGGTATAACTTGTCATTGGTCACAGGTAATTGTGTTCCTGTCTCAATCAAATGACCAAATCTTTTCTTATAATTCTTTATTTTGCTTCCCTGAGATCAGATCCTAAATTCATGAAAATAAAATTTTTAGGATGTCCTTTCCATTTTTTTATTGTGATAAAATATACATAAAAGGTACCATCATAACCATTTTTAAGTGTACAGTTCCATAGCATTAAGTACAGTAAGTACTTTGACACTGCAACCATCGCCACCAATCATCTCCAGAACTTTTTCATCTTCCCCACTTGAACCTTCATACCCATTAAACAATATCTCCTTCCTCTGCAGCTCCTGGCAACCATAATTCTGTTCTCTGTCTTTGTGAATTTGACTACTCTAAACAGCTCATGTAAGTGGAATCATGTAGTAGTTCTCATATTATGACTCGTTTATCTCACTTAAAATGTCTTCAAGGTTCATCCATGTGGAGCATGTGTCAGAATTTTCTTGCTTTTTAACACTGAATAATACTCCACCTTATGTACATTCCATGTTTTGTTTATGCCCTTCATCCTTCAGTGGACATGTGGATTGCTTTCACTAATGCTGCTATGAACATGGGTGTACAGATATCTTTTCAAGACCTTGCTTTGAAATCTTTGGGGTGTATATTGAGAAGTGGAATTGCTGGATTATATGGTAATTATATGTTTAATTTTTTTTTTTTTTTTTTTTTTTTTTTAGGAACCACCATACTAGTCTTTGTAGTGGCTGCACCATTTTATATTTGCACCAGGAACATCAAGTGTTCCACTTTCTCCACACCCTTGTCCACACTTATTACTTTCTGTTTTTTTAAAACAGCTCTCCTAATGGTTGGGAAATGATATCTCATTGTAGTTTTAATTTGCATTTTTCTCCAGTGATTAGTGATTTGAACATTTTATCTGTGCTTATTGGCCATTTGTATATTTTCTTTAGAGAATTGTCAATTCAATTTCTTTGCCCATTTTTAAATCTGGTTGTTTATTTTTTTTGTTGAATAGTAGGAGTTCCTTATGTATTTCTGTGTTCTAAGCCCTAATTAGATATATGATCTGCAAATATTTCCTCCCATTTCATGGGTTTCCTTTTCACTCTGTTGACAGTGTGTTTTGATGCACAAAAGTTTTAAATTTTGATATAGTCCAATTTATTTTTTCTTTTGTTGTCTATGCTTTTGGTGTCATATCCAAGCAACCACTGTGCCAAATCCAATGTCTTAAAGCTTTTTCCATATGTTTTCTTTTAACAGTTTTGATTCACATTAAGTTAATCTCTTGTATATGGTATAATGTTAGGTCCAACTTCATGCTTTGTATGAGAATATTTGCTGAAAAAACATGGAATGCTTTACAAACTTGCATGTCATACCTGTGAAGAAGCCATGCTATCTTCTCTACATCATTCCACTTTTGGTACATGTGCTGCCAAAACAAGCACTCGATGTCTTTTTAAATTAAAATTAAAATTATCTTTGAGATTTCTCAATGAGCCCCTGGAAAATCACAATGATTTATACATTTACCTTATAAAAAGAGAGATGCCAGAAATATTTTACATTGCCCTGCTATAATTTATATTTCTGAATTAGCTTGTCACTATTATAAGAAATTCATGGGGAAAATTGTCAAATGAAAGGATAATTTTGTACAGATAGAATGTTATTCATATAAAATTTTCTGATTGTACATTGTATAAAACAAATTGACAGGCTCAAGAGATTTGCTAATGCTTTCATTGTCCATGATATGATCTTATCTGTGGAAAAATTCTGATAAAATTGTTATGAAAGAGTTATATATTATAGTACAATGGAAAAGTTTACTCTCCTCAATTTTGATGTTGTTCATTACTATAATAAATCAATCTTACCATTTAGTCATACCAAGAAGCAGGCAGTTCTGCTTCTTTGGTGGTTATAATACAAAAACTATTCTTCACCAGATCCAGGAGCTATATTCTTAAATAGTTCTTCAAGAGACAGACTTCAAAAACTTAATTTGTAATCCATGTAATGAGAAATGAGAAAACAATTTGTAATCCATGTATTGTGACATAATTACTATACCCCAAAGAAATTACTTTATTTGTGGAAAAATCTTCAGAAATAGCCTGGAAACACTGCTTTTGCCTCATCAATGGAAAAAAAACATTTTTAAACAAACAAGTTCAGTTTTTGATGGATGTGCTAAAATTGCAAGGTCATGAAAGGTGTTTTTGCTCTTTTTGTTGTATAACATGGAGTTACACATTAATATGTATCTTTAACATATATTCAGTTCCAAAATAAAACATATTTCATTTTAAATATTATTCTTTACAAAGTAGGCTTTGTCTTACATAATTCAAAGGAAATTAAGCATCTTTTGTTTTCTTACTGAATAAAGAGTCTAGGGTGCCTGGGTGGCTCAGTTGGTTAAGCAACTGCCTTCGGCTCACGTCATGATTCCGGAGTCCTGGGATCGAGTCCTGCATCAGGCTCCCTGCTTAGCGGGGAGTCTGCTTCTCCCTCTGACCCTCTTCCCTCTCGTGCTCTCTATCTCTCATTCTCTCTCTCTCAAATAAATAAATAAAATCTTTAAAAAAAAAGAGTCTAATCTTATGCTTATATGCTTTAAAATTATTAGATATTACAATTTTAAATATTTTAACATTAAAATTATTTAAATAAGTATTAGATTTTATTTTTTGTTGATATGCTAATAGAAAAATGTTTCACTTAAGCTCACTTTTTTATTGTATATCATACAAAAATGGACAAAATACTTTTTAAAATGCGGAGAGTTCATAAGTAAAAGATTAGAAAATGTTGGGCTGGGGCGCCTGGGTGGCTCAGTCAGTTAAGTGTCTGCCTTTGGCTCAGGTCATGTTCCCAGGGTCCTGGGATCAAATCCTACATCAGGCTTCTTGCTCAGCAGGGAGTCTGCTTCTCCCTCTGCCCTTCCCCCTGCTCATTCTCTCTCTCAATCTCTCTCTCAAGCAAATAAATACAATCTTTAAAAAAAAAAAAAAGAAAATGTTCGGGTGTGTAATTATATACTAGTTTATAGATATGCCTAAAGAAATGGAAGAGAAGGAAGAAGAAATATAACCAGGCATCAAGCTTTCTTAATGAAAGCTAATAATAGGTCTATATCAGTTAAAACATAATTTTGTAATAACTCGATAAAAAGGGAAAAATTTTAATAGAATATACATAAATCCTAATTGTGTTTAGGCATTCATAAGAATCATATCTGTGTTAAAGGACCATTTAAAAATATTGAAGTTGCTCAATTCAAAATTTTTACTGAATTTTAAAATTGTTTTAGAAGAGTATTTTGACATTTTATCCACTTTATAAGGCAGCTAGATAAAAAAGGACATTCTTAAAAATGCTTACATAATAACAATTTAGCAGCTAAAAATGGAAACATATATAGCCTTTGTAGTTTCAACTTAAATAGGGACAGGATAAACCCTCTTTCTTTTTCTCTAGTCTGTGGTCCTTGTAAATGAAAATATTTTGCTAATGGCAAATTTAACATGCCTGAGGCTTTCAAGCATGTTAAAGCATCCTCTTCTTTATGACACACAAGTACTGGGAAGGCTTCTGAGCCTTTCAAAGAGTATTATTTTTAATCATTTTGTGTGTGCAGTAGAAGAAACTTCAGAAAACAGAGTAGTTTGAGAACACTTTCAGTATCATCATAGGTCATTGTTGGGTATCCCCCCACCTTCAGAAATTCTTTGTGGACACCTCTCCATGACTTGTCCCTGCATGCACCTTCCAGTTTCCAAACAGTGGTTCGAGGTATCATCCTGAAGTTCAAGGATTTACATAGGGCATTTTTTTCACTCTTAAATTTGTATATTCAGATTATGTGTGGGATTTCTGGGCTGCAGTTTGTGTTGTTTATGTTGCCACAAGAATATACAAGAGTGGATCCTGATGTGGGCACCTACCAGAGGAAATACTTAAAAATGACAACAACAACAACAAAACAACTTTGGCCAAAGTTATTTTTGAGAAGTATTCTTTAGTGGAAGAGGAATTTAAAGCATTTTTTTAAAGTTTCTCTTCAAATTCCAGTTCGTTAACATGCAGTGTAATATTAGTTTCAGGTGTACAATGTAGTGATTCAACTCTTCCATACATCACCCCGTGCTCATCACCACAAGTGCACTCCTTCGTCCCCATCACCTATTTCATACTCTAAATAGCAAAGAACATTTTGCATATTGATGATCTTCCCTTCTCCATCCCCCACTACCACCATTCAAACCCAACCTGTTATTGAGCCTAAGATATAAGAAACAACTGAATGGATTACTATTCATTTGAATATCCCAGTAGTATAAGCTCCAGGTGATGAACAACTACTTGGTGTTACCCAGCCATGCCTAAAGAAATGGAAGAGAAGGAAGAAGAAATATAACCAGGCATCAAGCCACTACAAAACCAGTTGAATTTTGAGTGCAAGAGCAATTATATTATTGTGCATATTGTACTAAAACATCTTATCAAAAAAGAATTATCAGTGAAACCATAGCTCAGAAGCATTTTTGAAATCAGCCTTTCTAGAGTGCTGGTATCTCCTGCTATTTCCAACTCAGCTGTTCCCATCGTTGGCAATAACTATTATAATCCTGATCCCAAACCTGGGTGTTCATGCATTTATTCAGCAAACATTTATATTATCAGTTAGACTGCTGCTAGAGTGCGCTGATGAGATGATGAGGATCCAGATCAGGCAAAAGGAACAGAAAAGACAGGTTTAAAATATATTTGAGGTAGAATGTATAGAATATGGAGACTGATTAGAATTAAACAAGAAAAGGAAGTTTGAGATTTTCAAAGAGGACATAATCATGATTCTCATACAAGAGTAAATTGGACACCTGCCAAAGATTTTATTTCATTCATTAATTAATGAGGAAGTCATCAATGTTACAACTGATTCAAATGAGATTTAAAGAATCACACATATATAAAGATTAAGTATGTTAAAATTAATTTGCAAATAGTTCCAAAACTGGCTTATTCCACGGGAGGTAGAGAGAAATCAGTTGTGTTAACCCCAGATAAAATCCATATGCATGATTTTGGACAGCAATCATTTGCATAGCTATTAGTTATCTATACCTTATAAGAATTGTAAAAGAGCTCAAAGACAATGAGAAGTACAGAGAACCTATAGAATCGGATACCAGTAATGGTGAGCTTAGACAACTGTTTAATTTTCCATTGAAGACATCCAGTAGTCCTTTTGGTCCATTTCAAAAGATAAAAGATATGGAGTTTAATTTTTAAATTTTCGAGTTCATGTTTTTTTCCAGAGACTTAAAGACAAGTGCTCTTTCTATTTGGCATTTGGTAATTGGTGTTACTTTTCCAGGGAAGAGTGATAACAAGGCTCATAAGAGTCTTGAGAAGGTTTATTGATCTGAATCTACCAGAAGGAACACAGTAAAACATTGTTAAGAAAATGGGCTCTCAAGTTAGATTGCCAAAGTTCACATTCTGACTTCATTACTAACTAGCTACGGACTTTGGGCAAGTTATTTACTTTCTCTATAACAGTTTCTTCGTTGCTAAAATGAGAAGAACAGGATTTAATTTATAGGACCGTTGAGAGGATTTCATTAGATAGTAAGTGTCATGTACCGACATACGGTAAGCACTCAGTAAATGCTATCTATGAGTAGCCTGAGAGAAAGGCTACTAATATCACTAGTCTTCTTATAAAGAGTACAGTTGGATGGAAGCTTAAATAAATTCACAAACCTTTCCCTGATTACAGCATGTTCCAGTTCCTTGGAATTTCCATTCGCACATATTCTCAGCCTATCACTTTCAGAGCCAACCCTGTAAGATGCTGGTAAGAGCGTCATCACGAGAGGTGGAAGTAGCTGCCCCACTGCCACCATGGAAATCTCATCCCTTCATAACTTACGCCCTCTCGGCATCTTATATCCCATGGCACTCACCTGTCAGCAGTGAGTATATTCTAGACAAATCCAAACTCTGACACTGTGGCACCAACATGTTCGCTAGGTATCTTCCCCGTGGCAAGTACTTATCAATCAAATAAGTTAGTTTTAATTAGGTAAAAATTTCCAAAATTACATAAACCCTACATGTCAACCAGGGAAAATAAACAGTCTAAAACAAAAATAAGACATATTAGTAGGAAATGCTGAATGACAGACGGCTTGGATAAATCCTATTGCTAAAAAATAAAGGTAAAGGAACACTCAACAAAGCAGTTTTATCCATGTACCCCAGCACTTAAGGAATCTGCAATTCCTTTTTTTTTTAAGTTTTTATGTTTTGTTTTGTTTTTTTTATTTGTCAGAGAGAGAGGAAGAGAGAGCACAAACAGGGGGAGCAGCATGTAGAGGGAGAAGCAGGCTCCCCGCTGAGCAAGGAGACTCGCTCCCAGGACCCCAGAATCATG